CGTTACTTTTTCCACCAGTACTGCTGCTGATGTAATTAATAACTTTGTATATTTGGGTGCATATTGGGAATCATGTAAATGCTGTCAAAATGTCTGGTAGTTTTGATGTCCATTTGTATATGCTACCAAATGCAATGTACTGCTGCTGAGATATGATGGAACAGAAATTTTACAGCAATGGTCACCAACCAGTCGATCGATTGACTGGTCGATCTCAGAGACTCAGAGTCAATCTGAGGTTGGCAGTGCTGAGCCCTGTCCCCACAACCCAGCAGGTGGGGAGGGAATGGGTGGGGACCAGATCGAGGCTCCTGCAGTGGGGAAGGGAGTGAGGCAGAGGCAGGAGCAAGGGGTCAGGTAAGTGGGGCCCCAGGGGTGGGAGGACCAAGAACGGGGAGCACCAGGAGGGTGTGCCCCAGGAGGGCACGAGGAGCATGTGCCCCCGGATCTGCACACAGGTCAGGGCGGGCTGCTGCTGTGGGCTAGGGCTGTGTTGGGCTCTTCCTGGAGGGGGCTGGACCACGCTGTGCTCATGGCAGGTGGTGGTGCTGAGAGAGGAGGTTGGGTGGCTGCAGCATCCCCCAGCCTCCCTCCCAGTGCGGCTGCCCACCCCGAGTGTAGCTGGGCCCAGTCTGCAGCAGCACCCTGCACCCCTATCTGTACACAGGGTGGGGGGGCTGTGGCAGTTGGCTCATCTGGGGCTGTTGTGAGGGGCTTCTGCCACTGGGGCCCCCCCACGCGGCCCTGGACAGGCCAGTTGTCCCAGCACTGAGCCCATCCAGGGCGTAGCACTGTGAGCATCCTGCCACTGGGTGGGCAGGGGACGAGGCTCAGCCCAGTGGTGGGAGATCCCCCTCCCCCACGCAGCCCCGAATGAGCTGATTGTCCCAGCACCTGGCCTGGGAGCGGCCCAGTGCCGCGCACACCCCACCACTGGGCAGGCAGGAGATAGTGCTCGGCCCAGCAGCAGGGTACACATGGTGCCAGGCTGCTCCTGGGCCAGGTGCTGGGACAATCTGCTCATCTGGGTCTGTCTGGTGAGGGGGCTCCCACTGCTTGAGGCCCCCCCACTCCCCTCTCGCACAGCCCTGGATGGGTCCATTTAGCCCAGCGCTGTGTGTGTCCTACCACCAGGCGGGCAGGGGACAAGGTGGGAGAGGAGGCAGGGAGGTGTGGTAAATCAGGGTGGCAGTGATTGGGGGGCAATGGTATGCCTATGCCCTGCCTCTGCCCCTCACTTGCAAGCCCCTGCCCCCCTCCCCACTAGCGCTGCCAGTGCCTCTCACTCCGGACCTGCAGCCACTGCCCCCCAGCCCTTCTGGTGCTTGCCCCACACTCCCAACTCACATCCACCTCCATCCCACGCACAGATTGGGGGAGGCGCATGCCCCCCACACCTCTGCCAGGGTGTGTGCAGCAGCAGGAGCCCCACCATGCACCTGGGTGAACCGTCCAGGCTCCGACCCTCCCACCACCCAGCCAGGCCAGGGCCCCACTCACCCCCCGCTCCACTCTCTCCCTCACCATGGGGGGCCTCAATCAGCTCTCCACCCTTTCCGTCCCCCACAAAATGGCCTGCACGGCAGAGGGTGGGCGGAGGGGCAGGGCGGGGGTGAGGCAGGGGGCGTGGGAGATCCTGGGTTGCCCCTTTACTTCAAAAAGTGATCTTCACCTTTAAAAGGTTGGAGACCACTGTTTTAAAGTAATACCTTAGAATTCTGTTTATCTAAATGTTTCAGTCTTCAGAAAGTTGCACCTGTATTTCAGTTTCCCATCCCTTTTCCAGTTTTTCTGCATCATGAATACTGCTTCCTCTTGCTTAAACAGTGTCGCTGTGAATGTAGATGAGGAAGCAAGAGTTGCCACATATCTGGCCTTCACTGTTCCTGAGAACACACAAAGTTATCTATGTCTGGGGAGAGTCAGGTGTGGCAATTGGTTTTGCTGTATCACATGTAATACTTAGTTCAATTTGATGCTTTCTTTAATTCCTGCTCCCAGTGCTAGGGTATGTAGTACTATGGCAAGCAATAGACTTTCTTATCAGTTATGCAGTAAAGCCAGTAAACTAATTGTGTTTGTGTAAATGTACCCAAGAATGGACACGATGTATGAATCAGCAAGCTCTCCTAGACCTGGTCTACATTACATAGCTTTGAGTCACTCAAGCTCTTGCCCCTTTACTTCAAAAA